ACGCCGCACGGAGCAGCGGTTGCAGCTCGTCCTGCGAAGCCAGCGTGCACTCTTGCAGGTACAGGAAGTCCAGCGCTCGCTCGAAGATCGAGGAGGAGATCTCCTGAAGCTCAATGCGCGGCATCCCGGCCTCGGCGAAGCCGCCGCACACCAGCGCGGCGAGGCACGGCGACTCGGCCGCAAGGACGACGCGGTGGGCGCTGAAGCTCCTGCCCTCCACCACGAGCTCCACGTCGCAGCAGGTGCCCGCGCGCCACAGCTTGGCCAGGCCCGCGCGCAGGCTGCCCTCAGAGGGCTCGGCCCGCACGACCAGCGCCGTGGACGGAGCACGGGCGCGCTTGCGCGATGGCATCGAGTAGGACCTATGTCCCCTGTCGTGTCAATCGGAGCGCAGCAGATCGCAGCAGGGACCGCTGTCTGGCACGACAAGGCCACCTGCACTAACTGTGTTTTTTGGTGATTCATAAGAAGGCACGCAAATTCTTTTTCTCGATGCACGCCTTCATTGCCGATCCCATGACTCCCGGATACCCCAACCTGGCGCGCACCTGCACTCAGCCACTCACCACCGGTCCCATGTTGGCCGGTCGATCCACCTTAATCGGGTGGACACGAAAAATCATCGTCACACTTGCCGTGACGCACGCGTACGGCTTACCGGCGGCAGCTCTGCCACAGGTGCCCCAACCCATGGAAGTCGGCCAAACGGGCTTGTCCGGCCTCTCCCTCTCCTCCACGCGGCCTTCTCCCCTCCGCGCACAAGGCGAGGCGACCGGGCGCAACGTGCGCCAGCGGGGCGAGTACGGACAGCCTATCGGCGTCAACCCGCAGATGCCGGGCATCATGGCCTCCTCCCTCGAGACCGTCGCGGAGGGCCCCCCCGAGGAAGACAGCCTTGACGGCGTCCTAGACTCGATGCAGATGCCGGAAATCATTGGCACCCTCCTCAGCGAGGAGGGCTCGCTCAAGGCGCCGATCACGATGGTCGTCATGGCGGACGGCTCGGGCAAGGCCGGCGCGATGAACCAGGACGTGCTCTCGGAGGTGATCGACGAGTTCGCCGTGAAGGAGGCGTTCCTCACCTACCTCGAGAACGAGGCTGGCGCCTCGTTCAAGGTGGCGGCCCACCTGACCATCGACGAGGCCGGCGCCGCCTCGCTGTAAGAAGGCTCTCGAGCGCCGGTTCGCCCAGGGCACCCGCAAACTCGACCGCTCCTACTGGAAGTTCTGGACGGAGTGGTGCCTGGTGCTCGCCACGCCGCCGCTGCGCATCAACGAGGCGGCCAACTCAGGCGCGATCGCTCACCTTCACCAGCGCGAGGTCGCCATCGCGCTCGGCGCCTTCATGGCGTGGGTGGCGGAGAATCCGCAGTTCAAGGTGGAGAGCATGCTCGCGCGCCTACGAGGCGTGGCGCGCAGGCACAAGAGCGTGGGCATCAAGTTTGTCCCCCTGGCGACGGTAGTGCAGGCGGCAGAGGGCCTGATACAGGAGCACATCGACGCGCACGGTGCAGAGACGCTGCTCCCAAAGTCGAAGGAGCCATTCGCGTCGATCGACGAGACACGCGGTAAAACGCGAGACGCTCATCCAAGAGCGACCCGAGGGCGTGTGCCCAAATGCGCCCGCCGTTTTTCGTCATACCCCCCCCTGGAGCCTGGAAACCCGCCGACTTTGATTGGGTCCGGTTCAACCTCACTCTCATCTTTATACTTACAGACACGCTTTTTTGGGACATTTTCGACGCTTTTGTCCCATACTAGCAGACCTTGCGCGCACGCGCGCCAAATTG